TGGGGGTGAGATGGTGCGGGCAGGGGGCAGGGGGGAGATGGTGAGAGGGGGAGATGGTGGGTGGGGAGGAGGTATTGGTGGGGAGGCACTAGGGTGCCTGTGAGAAAGGGATGGGGGAGAAGTTTAAACAAATGAGTGAGGAACGGAGCCCAGCTGAGACTGTCCTGACACCAGGGCTCCTGCCCCTCTGACCAGCCCAGGCCTCTCTAGTGGCTGGTGGCCTGTGGAGCCTTCTCAGGTCTGCTCTGGGAGATGGACTGGCTGGAGAAACCCTCCCTGCTGCTGCTGCATGAGGGGGCAATCAGGGCGTGAACTTCCTTCTCCAGGGTGGCCCCCCAAATCCTTTGGGAACAACAGTTCCTCCAAGGCTGAGGTGCATTGTGCCCCCAGGTCATAGTCCCTGGAGCACCACAGTTGGATCACCAGCAGCACCAGAGCATTGGACCCTCCCCCTTCCTCCACTGCCTCTGTCCCCTGGTGCACCCAGAAGAGCAGCCAGGCCACTCCGTCCAGCCGTGAGGACGTGTGGTCACTCCGTCCAGCTGTGAGGACATGAAGCCATTCTGTCCAGCTGTGAGGACATGAGGTCACTCCGTCCAGCTGTGAGGACATGAGGCCACTCCGTCCAGCTGTGAGGACATGAGGCCACTCCGTCCAGCTGTGAGGACATGAGGCCACTCCATCCAGCTGTGAGGACGTGAGGCCATTCTGTCCAGCTGTGAGGACGTGTAGTCACTCCGTCCAGCTGTGAGGACATGAGGCCACTCTGTCCAGCTGTGAGGATGTATGGTCACTCCATCCAGTTGTGAGGACGTGAGGCCATTCTGTCCAGCTGTGAGGATGTGTAGTCACTCTGTCCAGCTGTGAGGACATGAGGCCATCCGTCCAGCTGTGAGGACGTGTAGTCACTCCGTCCAGCTGTGAGGACATGAGGCCACTCTGTCCAGCTGTGAGGATGTATGGTCACTCCATCCAGTTGTGAGGACGTGAGGCCATCCTGTCCAGCTGTGAGGACATGAGGCCATCTGTCCAGCTGTGAGGACGTGTAGTCACTCTGTCCAGCTGTGAGGACATGAGGCCACTCTGTCCAGCTGTGAGGACGTGAGGCCATTCTGTCCAGCTGTGAGGACGTGAGACCACTCTGTCCAGCTGTGAGGATGTGAGGACACTCTGTCCAGCTGTGAGGACAAGAGGCCATCCGTCCAGCTGTAAGGACATGTGGTCACTCCATCCAGCTGTGAGGACATGAGGCCATTCCATCCAGCTGTGAGGACGTGTGGTCACTCCATCCAGCTGTGAGGACGTGAGGCCACTCCGTCCAGCTGTGAGGACGTATGGTCACTCCATCCAGCTGTGAGGACATGAGGCCACTCTGTCCAGCTGTGAGGATGTGAGGCCATTCTGTCCAGCTGTGAGGACATGAAGCCACTCCATCCAGCTCTGAGGACGTGTGGTCACTCCATCCAGCTGTGAGGACGTGAGGCCACTCCGTCCAGCTGTGAGGACGTGAGGCCATTCTGTCCAGCTGTGAGGACATGAGGCCACTCTGTCCAGCTGTGAGGGCATGAGGCCACTCTGTCCAGCTGTGAGGACGTGAGGCCATTCTGTCCAGCTGTGAGGACATGAGGCCACTCTGTCCAGCTGTGAGGGCATGAGGCCACTCTGTCCAGCTGTGAGGACGTGAGGCCATTCTGTCCAGCTGTGAGGACATGAGGCCACTCCGTCCAGCTGTGAGGACATGAGGCCACTCCGTCCAGCTGTGAGGATGTGAGGCCATTCTGTCCAGCTGTGAGGACGTGTAGTCACTCCGTCCAGCTGTGAGGACATGAGGCCACTCTGTCCAGCTGTGAGGATGTATGGTCACTCCATCCAGCTGTGAGGACGTGAGGCCATTCTATCCAGCTGTGAGGATGTGTAGTCACTCTGTCCAGCTGTGAGGACATGAGGCCACTCTGTCCAGCTGTGAGGACGTGAGGCCATTCCATCCAGCTGTGAGGACGTGTGGTCACTCTGTCCAGCTGTGAGGACGTGAGACCACTCTGTACAGCTGTGAGGATGTGAGGACACTCTGTCCAGCTGTGAGGACATGAGGCCATTCTGTCCAGCTGTGAGGACGTGTGGTCACTCCATCCAGCTGTGAGGACGTATGGTCACTCCATCCAGCTGTGAGGATGTGAGGCCATTCTGTCCAGCTGTGAGGACGTGTAGTCACTCTGTCCAGCTGTGAGGACGTGAGGCCATTCTGTCCAGCTGTGAGGACATGAAGCCACTCCATCCAGCTGTGAGGACGTATGGTCACTCCATCCAGCTGTGAGGACGTGAGGCCATTCTGTCCAGCTGTGAGGACATGAGGCCATTCTGTCCAGCTGTGAGGACATGAGGCCATCCGTCCAGCTGTGAGGACATGAAGCCACTCTGTCCAGCTGTGAGGACATGTGGTCACTCCATCCAACTGTGAGGACATGAGGCCATTCCGTCCAGCTGTGAGGACGTGTGGTCACTCTGTCCAGCTGTGAGGACGTGTGGTCACTCTGTCCAGCTGTGAGGACGTGTGGTCACTCCGTCCAGCTGTGAGGACGTGAGGTCACTCCGTCCAGCTGTGAGGACATGTGGTCACTCCGTCCAGCTGTGAGGACGTGAGGCCATTCCGTCCAGCTGTGAGGACATGTGGTCACTCTGTCCAGCTGTGAGGACGTGTGGTCACTCTGTCCAGCTCTGTGGACATGAACCTCTTGGGGCCTCACCCAGTGCCAGGCACCTCCCTCTCTCCCCGGAATTGCCCCCACCTGAGAGTCCCTTACTCTGCTGACTTGCCCCATGAGGGTCCTGAGGCTCCTCAGCCTGGATTGGAGACACTTACTTGCTTCCAGAGCAAATCCAGGCAATTTTGGGAGTTCACAAGGAGCAGGTGTGAAAAGTGTGATGTGAGTAATGTAAGTGCATTAACACATTTCCAGTGTGATATGGAATTATTTCTCTGATATGTAACAAGCCAACAGGACCAAGACTCGTTGGCTGCAGGCCCGGTTTGTGTTCACGGCTTACAAAAACGCTTGCTTTTCTTTAATTCCCAACAGCGTCTCCTGTGTTTGAATTCATTACTTTCATAGGAAAATAGGGCCACCACCCAGCTCCGCAGCAGACTTCTAGACTTCTAGGGAGTACTTTACGCTCTGTTCTGCTAAAGCAGCTGGATTCACACACTAAACTCGAGTCCCGGGAGGGAGCGCCATGCAGAGATGAGGGCAGACCTCGTGAGCAATTCCAGGTCCATTCAAGGGGAGGTTTGCTCCTTCCTCACACTGGACACCTGACACAGCAGCCCGTGGTCTCCTTGTTGGTCTCCTGCTTTGTTGAGTTTTCTGACGCAACCGCAAGTCTGGACCAGGGGGGATCAAGCCCCTTTCTGTGACCCAGCCCAGGCTCTGCTGCAGCCAGGATGGGTATCGCCCTGGGAGAGGCCAGGGCCACAGGGGCCACGTGGTGTCACACAGGTTGACCCCTGTGTCCTGAAGGCCCGGGCCCTGCGGACACAACTGTTCCTCCTAAGGGCATTTGCTGGGTGCCCACGAGGACCTGGGGAGGCATGGGCAGGGAGGCTGGTGGGTGCTTATGCTGCTGCCCTGCCCCCAAGACAACATGCCATCGATAGTGCCCTCCAGGGTCATTGCACAAGGGCCATGTCCTGTAGAACCTCCGACTGTCCCACAAACACCTTTTACTCAGTGGCGACAGAGCCAAACGAACCCCCCATTGTGTGGAGAATATGGCCCTGGTCCAGAACCAAGTCACCCCAGCATCCTTCTGGCAGGGCGCCTGGGGCCCAGGTCTGCGGCACTAACGCCTCTTTCCTCTTTCACCTGCCCATCCTGGGGGACGCCCAGTAGTGGAGTCTGCCCCCTGCACTGACCGCTGTGTTGGAAGAGGCCAGGAGGCCGAGGCGGGTCACCCTGGGAGGGGTCTGCCTGCCCTGATCTTGTTCCCTGAACTGGGAGTGGACAGGACGGGGGAGCCTTCTGGGTCTCAAGGCCAAATAAGTGTGAGGAAGGAAATATACCTGAAAACTCACGGGTGGTCCTTCACAGTGTGGAATAAGAGCAAGAAACCATGAGAAGTAGCTGGATTTTAGCCAGCGAGAGTGAACAGACAGGCCCCAAAACAGGATGGTGTTGGCTGAAGAATTGATTGGAGCACTGGGGGATCAGACAGGGGCACTTGGAGGCAGAACAGAGGGGGAGAGCTGGAAGGGGAGTGGGCTGAGTGTGGGCAACAATTCAGTTCCAGGAAACAGAAGTGTCAGGATGAAACACGCAGCAGAAGAACTATCTAAAGAAATAAGGAAAACACACTTGCTAGAACTACAGAAAGGTGAATGTTATGCCCTCACAGTGCGCGTAGAAGAGCCAGTGGCATGTAGAATAAAACGGTTGTGAGGGTGCTTGGGCCTGGATATTTTGGGGTGATGTGTGGACATTCCAGAGGGAGAGAGCAGATTCTCCAAAGAAACAAGAGCCAGGTTCACAGCATGGTCTGGCTTAGGGGCTGCAGCAGGCTGATCTGATTTCTATGACCATGAAATGATCATCACGGTAAGTTTAGTGGACACCATCATCTCATGTGTGTGTGCGTGCTAAGTCGCTTCAGTCGTGTCTGACTCTTTGCAACCCTGTGGACTGTAGCCCACCAGGCTCCTCTGTCCATGGGATTCTCCAGGCAAGAATACTGGAGTGGGTTGCCATGCCTTCCTCCAGGGGATCTTCCCCACCTAGGAATTGAACCCACATCTCTTATGTCTCATACAGACACACAATTAAAGAAATAGAAAAAAGGCTCAGCCACAGGCTGCCTCCAGCGACGCAGGATGTAGCGCTGGGTGCACGGCCCCCAGTAAAGCCTTCTGCCTGCCTGTCTCCCACCACAGGGAGCTCTCTGCCCCTTGGGGCTGAGAGACCCCACCCTTTCCCCAAGCTGAAGCCGGAGGGCCCTGAGGTACCAGCCAGATGTTGTCTCACAAGGGACCCTTGGAGGCCCAGGGCAACGGGGCTCCTGCCGGCAACAGGGCTGACACAGTAGAGCTGGCGGAGCTGGGAGCCCTGGTAGAGAAAAAGGGCAAGTGGACAATCAGCAACCCAACCAAAGCTGAAGAGGAGCAGGCCTACCCAGGGCTCAGGAGGAGGGGGCGGAGGTGTGGGCCCCTGCAGGCCCACCATGCCATGGAGAAGAAGGAGGAGTTTGTATACGAGGTCTGGGAGCGGTGCTGGACGGTCATCCCACACGACGTGCTCCCGGACTGGTTGGAGGACAACAGCTAAATGCTGCATGGCCACCGGCCGCCCATGCCCTCCTTCCGGGCCTGCTTCAGAGCATCTTCTGCGTCCACATGGAGACTGGCAACATCTGGATCCTTCTGCTTGGTTTTGTGCTGTTTCTCTTTCTGGGAATCCTGACCACGCTCAGACCAAACATGAAATTCATGGCCCCCACTTCAGGAGAAGGTGGTGTTTGGGATGTTCCTCCCGGGAGCGGTGCTCTGCCTCAGCTTCTCCCGGCTCTTTTACACTGCTGTCATTCCAAGAAAGTCTCTCGGACTTTCTCAGAACTGGATTATGCAGGGATTACCCTACTGATTATGGGGAAATTTGGCCCCTGGCTCTACTACTCCTTCTATTGCTGCCCACAGCCACAGCTCATCTGCATCCATCGTCTGTGTTCTGGGCATCTCTGCCATCATCATGGCACAGTGGGACTGGTTCGCCACTCCTAAGCACCGGCAGACAAGAGCAGGCGTGTTCCTGGGGCTCAGCTTGAGTGGTGTCGTGCCTGCCATGCAGTTCACAATCACAGAGGACTCCATCAAGGCCACCATGGTGGGCCAGACGGCTGGTTCTTCCTCATGGCTCTGATGTACATCACCAGAACCGGCCTCTGTGCCACACACATTCCCGAGAGATTGTTCCATGGAAAATTTGACATATGCTTCCAGTCTCATCAGATCTTCCATGTCCTGGTAGTGGAAGCTGCCTTCATCCACTTCTGGGGTGTCTCCAACCCTCAGGAATTCCGATATGGCCTGGAAGGGGGCTGTACTGATGACTCTGTCCTCTGAGCCACCCCCCAAGGGTGCAGGAGTAACTTCCCAAGTGCTTTCAAAATAACTTCTTTGCTGAAGTGAGAGGAAGAGTCTGAGTTGTCTGTTTCTAGAAGAAACCTCTTAGAGAATTCAGTACCGATCAAGCTTCCGCCCACTTCACATTCACTGAACAATAAACTCTCCATTTCCTCGCTGAGAAAGGTGGGGGAGGGCAGGTGTGGCCACCCTGCCTCCGGCCGCCCCCTCAGCCAGGCACCTGCTGTCGCCTCCCAGAGATGGGTCTGTGAAGCTCACGGTGAGCTCTGACCCATCCTCCCACCATTCTGGGGAAAAGAGATGGACTGGTACTCTTCAGAAATTCCGTTTCTGGAAGAAACTGTCCCTCCATCACCTCTGTCCTGACTTTGTAATCTGGCTTATAACAGGCCATCCATTTTTGTAGCATACTTTTCAAAAACACTTATAACCTGGTCCCATCTTTCTAGGGCCTGGGCCTGCTCACAAAGCAGGAAGAGCAAAGCCACCAACTTTTACACAGCCTGGCTAATCATGGAAGTGTGTCCGGGCTTCAGATAACTTGAGTTTTAATTTTTTTCTTGGCAGAGTGATGTAAAATTAAAGTGGGGAAAGATGCTTAATATTTAATACTAAGCTTTAAAAAGAAATCTGCTATCATTGCTATATAACTTGATGCAAAGACTACGAGGATAATAAGAGTACAGAAGGCAAAAAAAAAGAAATAGAAAACAAATTTGCTTGTGATAAGAACTCTTAGGATTTATTCTTAAGAATTTTCATTATATAATGTACAGTAGGGTTAACATGTTTCTCATGTTGTACATTACATCTCTAGTACTTATTTGTCTTATAACTGGAAGTTTTACCTTTTGACCACCTTCATCCAATCCCCTTTCCCCGCCTACCTTGGGTAACCACAAACCTGATCACTTTTCCTATGAGGCTGTTTGTTTTTGAAATACAATTGACCTACAGCACTATGTTAGTTCCTGTTATCACAAAATAGTGATCGATGTTTCTATACATTTCAAACTGATCACCATGATAAGTCTAGTTACGATCTGTCACCATACAAAGATACTACATAGTTATTGACTATATTCCCAACACACTGCATTTCATTGTTGTTGTTTAGTCACTAAGTCATGTCCAACTTTTTGTGACCTCATGGACTGTATTGTAGCCCACCAGGCTCCTCCATCTGTGGGATTTTCCAGGCAAGAATATTGGAGTGGGGGGCCATTTCCTTCTTCAGGGGATCTTTCTGATCCAGGGATCAAACCTGAGTCTCCTGAACTGGCAGGCAGATTGCGTACTGCTGAGCGCCTTGGGAAACCCCTACATTTCATACTGCAACTCATTTATTTTGCAACCAGAAATTTGTACCTCTTAATCTCCCTCAACTCTTTCTCTCCTCTGCCCACTTCCCCTGCTCTGGCAACCACTTGCTTGTTCTCTGTGCCTATAACTCTGCTTCAGTTTTGTTATGTTTGGTCATTTGTTTTTTAGATTCCACATATAAGCAAAATCATACAATATTTGTTTTTCTCTGTCTGCCTTATTTTACTTGGCAAAATATCCTCAAGTTCCTTCCATACTGTGGCAAATGGCAAGTTTTCATTCTTTTTTTATGGCTGAGTAATATTCCATCACAAACACACACATACACACCACACATTCTTTATCCATTCATCTATTGATGACCACCTGAGTTGCTTCCCTAACTTGACTATTGTAAATAATGCTGCAATAAACACAAGGGTGCATATACCTTTTCAAATTAGCATTCTTTTTCTTTAGATAAATACTGAGGAGTAGAATTCCTGGATCATATTCTAACTTTTAAAGGAGCCTCCATGCACTTCTCTGTCACACTTGCACAAACTGACACCCCCATCAACATGTATGAGGGTCCCTTTTCTTTACATTCTCACCCACACTGATATTTGTTGTCTTTTCGATCATAGGCATTCTGACAGGTGTGAGGTGTTATCTGGTTATGGTTTTGATTTGTATTTCTCTGATGATCAGAGATGAGCATCTTTCCATGTGTCTCCTGTCCATTTGCATGTCTTCATTGGAAAAATGTCTATTAAATCCTCTGCCTGCTTTTCAATGGCATTGCTTGCTTTTTTGCTATTCAGTTGTATAAAGTCTTTGTATATTTTGGAATATTAACCCCTTATTGGATATATTGTTTGCAAATATCTTCTCCCAGTCAGTAAGCAGCCTTTTCATTTTGTTGATGGTTTCCTTCACTGTGCAAAAGTTTTTTAGTTTGATGTGACCTCATTTGTTTCTTTTTGCTTTTGTTACCCTTGCCTGTGGAGACATATCAAAAAAAAATTACTACTAAAGACCTATGTCAAGGAGCATTCTGCCTATGTTTTCTTGTAGAAGTTTTCTGTTTTCAGGTCTTATACTTAAGTCTTTAATCCATGGAATTTAAACAGTCCATGGAATTCTCCAGGCCAGAATACTGGAGTGGGTAGCCTTTCCCTTCTCCAGGGGATCTTTCTGACCCAGGGATCAAACCCAGGTCTTGAGCATTGCAAGCAGATTCTTTATCCGCTGAGCCACAAGGGAAGCCCAAGCATACTGGAGTGGGTAGTCTATCCCTTCTCCAGCAGATCTTCCTGACCCAGGAAGCAAACTGGGGTCTCCTGCATTGCAGGCAGATTCTTTACCAACTGAGCTATCAGAGAAGCCCCTTAATCCATTTTGAGTTTATTTTTTTTTATATAGTGTGAGAAAAGGTGCTTCAATTTGATTCTTTTGCATGTAGCCATCCAGTTTTCCCAACACCATTTATAGAAGAGGCTATCTTTTCTTCACTGCATACTCTTGCCTCCTATGTCAAAGCTTAATTGCCCATAAAAGTATGGCTTTGTTTCTGGGCTCTCTATTTTGCTGCATTGATCTATGTGTCTCTTTTTGTGCTGGTATTATACTCTTTTGATTACTGTAGCTTTGTAGTATAGTTTGAAATCAGGGCACGTGGTTCCTCCAGCTTTGTTCTTTCTCAAGATTGTTTGGCTGTTTGGGGTCTTTCATGTTTCCATACAAATTTTAGGATTATTTTAGTTCTTTGAAAATTGCCATTGGTATTTTGATAAGTATTGCACTGAATCTGTAGAGTGCTTGGTAGAACGGGCGTTTCAACAATATTAATTCTTCCAATCCATGAACACAGTGTACCTTTCCATCTGTTTGTGTTGTCTTCCAAATTTCTTTCATTAGTGTCTTTTAGTTTTCTGAATATAAGTGTTTTATCTCCTTAGATTTATTCTTATGCAATTTTATTCCTTTTGATGTAAATTGTAGATATGATTGCTTTCTTAATTTCTCTGATAGTTTGCTGTTAGAATATAAAATATAACTGACTTCTGTATATTAGTGTTGTATCCCAAAACTTTACTGATTTCATTAATGACCTCTAGTAGTTTTTTGGTGGCATCTTTAAGATTTTCCATGTATAGTATCATGTCATCTGCAAGCAGTAATAGTTTTACTTCTTTATTTCCAATTTGGATTCATTTTCTTTCTTTTTCTCGTCTGATTGCTGTGGCTAGGACTTTCAACTTTATGTTGAAGAAAAGTAGTGAGACTGGGCAGCCTTGTCTTGTTCCTGATCTTAGAGGAAATGCTTTCATCTGAGTATGATGGTAGCTGTGGGTTTGACATATATGGCTTTTATTATGTTGAGATATGTTCTCTCTATACCCACTGTGTTGAGGCTTTGTTAAATCATAAATCATTGCTGAATTTTGTCAAAACCTTTTCCTAGATCTATTGATATGATCATATGATTTTTATTCTCTAGTTTGCTAATGTGGCATATCACATTAATTGTTAGTGGATATGAAAACATCCTTGCACCCCTGGGATACATTACCTTTGATCACAGTGTATGCTTCTTCTCACGTTTTTTTGTTTTTGTTTTTTTTTACTTTGGAATAATTTTAGCTTTACAGAAAAATTGCAAAGGGGCTCTGGACAGTTTCCATGGACCCCTCACCCAGCTTTCCCTGAGTGTTGACATTTTACATCAGCATGGCATTTTTTCTTTTTAGTGTTTTGATTTTTTGGCCACAAAGTATGTGGGATCCGGGCTCCCCAACCAAGGATCAAACCCACACCCTGCTGCAGTGGAAAGCAAAGTCTTAACCATTGGACCGCCCAAGGAAGTCCCCAGCACAGCAC